CTACAAATGCAGTTAACATATATTACTAAATGGGAACTTTACAGTATCCTGGATTGGTGTTAATATATCAGCCTTACCATATAAAGTAAACAGATCAACTAATTCTACTTTATTAACAGAATTAATTCTACTACATTAACAGAATCTTACAAGTTTGAAAGTACAGTTCTCTTCCCACCTTCTTTACCCTCAAAGAAATTAGGGAGGGTCTCTTCTGAGCCTCTTACCCCTCCTTATCACTGTAGATCATGATGTCTCTTATCTGATCATTCTCTAGACAGCATCTCCTTGCCCTCTCTCCCAGGATCCTTCCACATACCATTACATAACATCATTAGTAACAGTGGTGGAAAATATTTGTTGATAAAAATAACAAAATGTTGATAAATTCAAAAGGGCAATGTCATTAGAGGAAATGAGATTTTCAATTTGCAACCTCAAAGGCATACATTAAGCAATTTAATTAGGGAATAAGCCAATTAAATAAGACTTGCTTCTTAGCCAACGCACACAGGATTGGTGTGTAAAATAGTGTAGTCAAAACTCTTTTAGCTAAATCAACGTTTCCCAAATTTGCAACTTTAAGATGGGTGGTCTTCAGTTCCCAGAAATCCCCAGCTAGCATCGCCATTGCTAAGCATTCTAGGATTTAAAGTCCACACATTCTACATTTTCAGAGACTGGGAAACATCAGGCTAAATGAACTATGAAATCTCTAAAAAACAATTTGAGTATTTCAGATTTTTGCCTGCTGCTGGCCTAGTTGAAGATAACTTTGACACATTTCCTCATCAAAGCCATCTGTCCCCAGTTCAGGAGGATTTCAGCCATCAGGGCATTTTTCATCCATGGATCTTTCCAGTGCATTCCAATAGATCATCAGCTCTTGAGGTTTCACAAAATGGCTGATTACAATTTTCTTAAAGCTGCAAGGTGAAAATGTAAGCCTTTCAGGGAAGAAGGTTTGCTTGGAATGGAGGTTTTCCAGTTTGATATCAAGTTCAGCAAGGCACAAGCCAATGAATACATCCTCCAGCTTAACAAAGGGAATATTGTCAGAAATTCTATACACCAGACTAGCAACATCTGTTGAGAAAACATAGCCAGTCCCTGAACAAAAAGGAGGGTATACATTTCTTGGATATTCATTTTTACTCATATACCACTTACTGGATATTTCCCGTATTGGATGTTCATTTTGTTTTAAAAAGCCAGTGAAAAATCTGGTTTTCTGGATTTTTTTTAGAAGGAGTTCAGTCAGATAGTAGGTATTTACAAACACATCTGAGTCTGCTTTCATTACAAAGCTAGACTGTGAGCAGAATTTGTGAATCCATTCAATGCCCATCATAGTTTTTAATGTTAAATTATAATAGGTATCTACAAAACCTTTCTGGATAATATCTCCATATTTCAGACTCTCATTAATCACAGCAACCTGTTCTTCAGGATTCAAGGTAGTTCCCAAAAGAAAATAGGCTACAATCAATTTATTTGCTATTAATCTTTTTTTGCCCCAGGTCTCACGGATTATTACACGAAGTTTTAAATCAGTAGGAGAGGAAGTTACAAGAATGACCAGAAATGGAGGGATCTGGCTACAATCTGAATGAGGTACCAATAAAAATTGTCCATTGCCTTTTTTAAAAAATATGTCCTCAGTTTTGTTCTGACAGAAGATGCATA